GTAAAACACATTGACCCCATTATATCATCCCAAAAGTCTTAAATCAACTCCAAGTCCAAAATCTCATCTTCTGAATCATCTAAATCAAATATGAGTGAGACTTTAGGCATATTCCATTCTGGGGCAAAATTCCTCTTCATCTGTGAACCTGTGAAATCTAAGCAAGTTATCTGTTTCCAAAGTACAATGGGGGAACAGGCACAAGGTAGACATTTCCATTACAAATAGGAGAAGTTGGAGGGAAAGAAGGGATAACAGGAACCAAGCAAGTCAAAAGCCCAGCAGAACAAATTACGTTATCCCTCAAGGAATGAAAATAATCCTCTGTTCTCTGAGACCATTTGGGAAATGGCTCTGCCCTCCAGATTCTGGGTGTTGACCATGCTCTCTAGATTCTGAGTGGAGTCCCCTTGACCCTGGGCTTCAGCTTTGCCTTCCAAGCCCACCAGGATGGCAACTCTGCTCCCTCAGCTTTGGGCGGCCCCATTCTCCTAGTACATCTGAGTGGCGACCCTAGCCCCTTGGCCCCAGCAGTCCCCATTCTTCTGCCCCTTGGGCATGGAATTCCCATCCCCTCAACTTTGGGCAGCCACCCCACCCCTCTAGCACAACTTAACAGCAGCCCCACACTCTGAAATTGAACTGGCAAAGATCTGACTCTATGAAACCTAGTAGGCTGTGGCCCCACCCTTTGAGATCCAGGAGACCGTGGTCCCATCCTTTGAAATTGAGAAGGTTCTGCTTCCTGTGCTCCTTCCAACAGATTTTCTGATCTCCAAGCTGTTCCAGGGATGGTCCTTTTCTTTTCTTGGAGGACAACAGATGTAGCTCCATTGGCCTGTTTCTATTTGTAGAATTCAAAGATGCAGTGTTCTCTCCTTTCTTTCTTTCTCTGTCCTCTTCAGTCTACGCTGATGGGTTTTCTGCTGTTGTAGTTGGTTAGGTCCATCAGTCATAGGCTTAATCTCTTTAACAAAAGATTTTGTAGCCACGTCCTTAGTGAACATTCTAGGACACATGTCCTTAGTTTGTACAACAGGATTTTCCAAATCTTTAAATTTTGTTTTCATTTTGCACAGTTCATTTTTAAGCCCATCTGTTTCCTCTCACATTTTAATATAAGTGGAAAGGAGAAACCATTCAGTTTAGAAATCTCATCAGCCAGATATACGAGTTCATCACTTACAAGTTCTACCTTCCACCAAACATTTAGACATAATTCAGACAAGTTCTTTGCAACTGCATAAAAAGCATCGCCATTCCTCCATTGTCCAATCATAGGTTCATCATTTTCTTTTAAAGTCTCACCAGAAGCACATTTAACATTCATATTTCTAGCAACATTCTATTGCTGGTGCCATATGTATTCTCTAAGACTATAGAGACTTTCTCTAATGGTCTTCTCATTTCCTTCTGAACCCTCACCAGAGTTGCCTTTGATGTCCATAATTCTACCAACAGTCTCTTCAAGGCAATCTAGGTTGGCACCTTAAAACTCTCCCAGCCTTTACTCATTACCCAATTCCAAAACTGCTTCCATGTTTTAGGTATCTGTTAGAACAGCACCCCACTCTACTGGTACCAAATTCTGTCTTAGTTATCTAGTGCTGCTATAACAGAAATACCACAAGTGAGTGGCTTTAACAAACAGAATATTTACTGTCTCACAGTTTAGGAGGCTGTAAGTCTGAATTCAGGGTGCCTGCTCTAGGGGAAGGCTTTGTGTCTCTGTCAGCTCTAGGGGAAGGTCATTGTTTCAACATCTGTGGGCCTGGCATACCTTGGAGATCTCCGTGTGTCTTCTCATCAATCTTCCCCTGGGTATAGGAGGTTCTAAGCACAGGAATCCCAGGTACACACTCCACTCCCAGCTCTTCTTTCTTGGTGGAGGTAGGATCCCTCTCCTCTCTGCACTCACTTCTCTCTCCTTTTATCTCTTCTAAGATAAAAGGTATGAGTCACCCAAGGATGTAACTTGAGTAAGGTTGTGACCTTAGTAACGGCATAACTCAAGATACATCCCACGCTAATCCTGCCTCATTAACATATGGAGGTTTAGGATTTATAACACGTAATTACACAATACTACAAAATGAAAGAAAATTACATCAGATCACAAAATGGAGAACAATTACACAATACTGGGAATCATGGCCTAGCCAAGTTGGCACAATTTTGGGGGAACAATTCAATCCATGACACCTACTATTGGATTAAAGTGGAAAATACATTAGCTGACTGATTTGCAGTCTCCCAAATACAATTAAAGTGAGGTGCAGGGAATTCTGTGTCTGGACATGATGGAGGAATGAGAATTATGTTCCCATAGTAAGCAACTAGAAATCTGGACAAACTATAGAAAACAGTGATTCTCAGAAATTATACAAAAGGTGAAAATGGACTGTGATCCCTGAGATAAGAGAAATAAACAAAAGGAACCCTATAATTGCTCAGTTTCTGCACAGAGGAACATTCTGTATCATGGTGCAGATTAGGGGATCCTAAGCAGAGCACAATCATTTTCCTGAATTAAGCCACAGAAATAAGCGTTTGGAGAGTCTGTGGTGGCTGGAAGTTATAGAGTTCGAAAGAGTAAGGAACTGTGCAGACAAAGAATTTCATAGATTCGCATGTAGCTCATACTGAGACTTTGAGGAATCCAAAGATTAACTTAAGGCAGCTTATTGATTTAATTTTAGAATTATAAAATCAATATGGGTCATAAAACTGTAATGGTAGGTAATAGAAAACTTCTGGGAAAAAACATAAACAAAAATCTTTGTGACTTTGGGTAGGCAAGGATTTCTTACGGCAAGAAATCATGAACCATTAAAAAAATGTTAAATTAGACTTAATAGAAATTTGAGACTTCTGCTATTCAAAAGTAACCATTAAAATTAAAAGGCAAGCCAGAGACTGGGAGAATATATTTATAATACATATATATGACAAAGGACTTGTGTCAAAAATGTATTTTAAAATGTCAGAACTCAGTCAAGAGTATAAACAACCCAATAAAACAGACAAAAGATTTGAACTAACATTTCTAAAAAGAAGATAAACAAATTGCCAACTAACACCTGAAGAGATGGAAAATGCAAAGTAATACCATTATACACTCATTTGAATTGGTAAAATTAAAAAGACCAGTCATGGCTAGGATGAAAACAACTGGTACAATTGCTGAATGGAAAATGATACACTTTGTTTAACGTAAAAAAAAAAAATCCAAAATATTTTCCTTACACATAAAATATGACCAGTTATTCCACTCTTAGATATTTACCCAAGACCAAAAAAACATGTTCATACAAAGAATTTACATGAATATATATAGAGCTTTATTCATAATGTCTCAAATTGGAAAAAGCCCGAACGTCCATGAGTAGGTAAATTGATTTAAAAAAGAAAAAAAGAGGTATTTTTACACAATAGAATATTATTCAAGGAACATACACATAACATTTCAAAAACATTATGTTGAGGAAAAGACATCAAACACAAGAAGTATATATAATATGATTCCATTTACATGAACCTTTAGAAAAGAGAGTCAATCTGTAAGGACAGAAAGCAAATCAGTGCTTGCCTTAGACCAGAGATGGATGGGGGCATTGTTTGGAAAGTGGCACAAGAACCTATTATTTAAAAAGAAAAAAAAAAAAACCCTGGAGGAATATACATCACCATGTTAACAGTGGTTACTGTTTTTATCTTTTTATATTGTTTGAAAATTATTCAATAAGCAGAGATATCTAATATGCCAGAAAAAAACCAAAAGTGGTTGTACTGGGAGGCGATCAGTAACTTATCACCTGGGAACTAACTAGAACTGACTCTTAGGTCCCACCATAGACCTAATAAATTAGTACCTACATTTTAACAAGATACCCAGGTGGTTCTTATGCCTATTAAAATTTGAGAAGCACTCTAGTAAATATTTCTGAATACACAAAACATTATGACCCTTGTAAGGATGTCTTAGTTTCTTAGTGATGCTGTAACAGAAATACCATATGTGGGTGGCTTTAAAAAAAAAAACAAATTTATTTTCTCACAGTTTTGTTGTTGTTGTTATGTGCTATGGAGTGGATTCCAACTCAGAGCGAGCCTATGTGACAGAGTAGAACTGCCCCATAGGGTTTTCTTTGCTGTAATCTTTTGGTTAGAAGCTGAGCACTTAAGCCGCTTAGGAGGCACCAGCTCTGGCGGAAGGCTTCCGCTCTCTGTGGGCTCTGGGGTAAGGTACTTGTCTCTGTTCAGCTTCTGCTCTCTGTTCTTCAGTGATGTGCATGTAGGCTGGCATCTGTCTTCCCCCATCTGTGCTAGCTTCTGTGCCTAAACTGCTCCTTTTATATCTCCAAAGGGATTGGATTAAGACACAATCTTACTTATATAGCCTCATTAATATAACAAAACCCTGTTCCCAGATGGGATTACATGCACATGTATAGGGGTTATGCTTTACAACACACATTTTATGGGGGACAATTCAATCCATAACAAAGTATAAGTGAATTTCAAGTAACAGAAACTAGTGAGAATCTCAATAAATGCAGTATTTATGAGGCTGGATTAAAAACCACACTGATGGATTTCATGCTCTGCCCTCTCAATTGAAGAGTACTAAGTCACTAAAAAGGCAGCAAAGGGTGCTGACATCAATTTATAATTTCTGCTTTAATTTCTCGGATGCCAAAGTTCCTTCTCAAAAAATAAGGTAGCATAAACTATCCAGAGTCGTGTCACTTATTTACAAATGGCGTAGGGAGTCAGGAAGAGCTTTAGGAACCACAGCTTGCGTTTTCCGTGTGCGAAGCAGGTGTTTCCTAGTACCTCAGCCCGCTTTGTCTGGCTGGCGCAGTCGCTTGCTGGGTAGGGCGGAGCCGCGGATGCACAGGTGGGGTGTTGCCAGAGGGGGGCGGAGCCGAGTTGTAGGGGAGGGGCGGGGCCACGAGGCGTGGAGGTGGGTCGTTGCCTTAGCAGGCTGGCAGAGCCGCGCGAAGTGGTGGCGAGGTGTTGCCGCAGGTGGGCGGAGCTGAGCTGAGCAGCTGGGCCTTGGTGGGGGCGAGGCGAGCTCGTAAGACTTGGGACGCGAGTCTGACCGCGCAGTTCGCGCCGCCTGGTTTGGGGCGGGCCCCTTAAGGGATCCCCCAAACGCTGATCCCATGGGGCTGTGCTTTCCTTGTCCCGGGGAGTCCGACGCTGCCTCGCCGGACCCGGTGAGTAGGGCCGCGTCCCCACGCCCCCGCGCGCGCACCTGTCACCGGGAGGGGTGTGCCGGGAGGCCTGGAACTGCGGGCGCCGGGACGAGCCGTTGGACGCGGTGGCGCCGGGCGGAGGAGAGCCCCCCGGTGGAGACCCTGGTGGGGAGGACGTGTGGACGCGCCCCGGGGTCATTGGGCCCTGCCAGCGGTATCGGTCTCTACACTTTCGTCATAATGCTTACCCAAAGGCGGCTCCGGGGTCTTCCTACATTTTTCTGACTTTGGCAGAATTGGGAGTTCGTAGATCTCACGCATACGCAGACGGTGCTGTGTATGGGCCATTCTTGGCGATTCGGTTTATGGAATTAGGGTGCAAAAGAAATGTCTTTCTTCGTTAACTGAAGTGTTTAATGTTCTAGGAGATGTGCGTTTTCCTGTGTCTGTACCAACTGTTTAAAGAAGGTGCCTAATAAACTCGCTTATAGCCCTGAGCGTTATTAGATATTTTGTTAATCAACGTTTTTCCCTTAGTATTTATCTCTTTAAGTTCTTTCTTTAAAAAAAAATAATATTTTATGTTAGTACGGAAGGTACAATTCGTAAGGTTGTCAGGTTTAGCAAATAAAAATACAGGACGCCAGTTAAATTTGAATTTGAAATAAAGAAGGACTGCATTCTTAATGTTTGTCCTATGCAGTATTTGGAACATACCATTACTAAAAATTATTCGTTGTTTATCTGAAATTCAAATTGGGCAGCTTGTAATACAAGATGTTTATATTTTCTGTGGCTTTCTATTATTAGCAATATCTTTACATTAGTACTTCCTACTGGGAGTTGGTAACTAGAAAACCTAAATTCCTCTCTTCTTCCCTATCTAGCTAAAAATTAAGTGAAGGAAATGAGATATTTAGGGAAGTACATTAACTCTTTTTAGCCATTTGATTATAGGTACTAAAAATGACTAAGTTGGTAATATAGGAAAGCTCAATTTGTCTTTGCTACTACTGTTGCTTTTAAATTTTGTTATTTCTCTATCTGGCTGTTAATAAAATACCGTTCTGTCAGCATTTGTTAAGCACTCCCCACGCAGCCGTGCTATTCCCTCTTCCCTCAGATAACCATATGGCTCACTTTTTTCCTTCCTGTAGATAACTGCTTGGGTGTCACTTTCTCAGTGAGCGTTTTCCAAACCATCCTAAATAAAATAGATCCCCCCCACTATACCACCTCCCTACTCTCCCATTACTTATCCTATCTGCCATACTCTTCTTTATATTCCCTCCAAACCACTTACTGCCATTTGACAAACATGTATTCACTTGATTATATTTGTCTGTATAGTCTCATTGGAATGCAGGTTCCATAGGGGTGGAGACATTTAGCTGTGTTTTTTTCACTGTTACCTCCTCAGCACCTGGAAAAATTCCTGAGGCATGGTGGGTGCTCAATAAATATTTGTCCAGTGAATGAATGGTTGTAGATGTTGCGGTATGGAAAATAAACGAATTATTAACACCAGACCCCCAAGAGAATGCTACTTTCTGTCTTAGATATTTAAAGATTGTATAATTTAGTCCTGTACAGTGTAGAATAACATTGTTTCCCAGCATGGAATACTACCTCTCAGAAATTTACTCAAATCCTCCCCATTCTACATAATGAGATCAGCCCAATTCATTCATGGACCTTTCCTGAAAACACCAGCCTCCTCCAAACTCCTTTTTAACTGGCAGTACCAAACCATATGTTTCCCTGCTTATGTTGTTAAAGGTCATTTCGTTTTATTATTGCCCCGTCTAGCTTGTGAACCTTTTTTTTTTTTTTTTTTTTTAATAAATGTTATAGGCCAGCTGCTCAATTTTTTTATATCTTAACCTGGGCAAATAAGTTACATTGATTGGGAGAATGAAACTCAGAAAGTGGAGTATTTTGCTTTAAATAGTAGCATTCTTAGGGGGCCATTTTGGGCCATTTTTGTAAACCATTATGTTACCTATAAGACATAGGTGTATAATTTATCCATGATAATGTTTGGTTTTATTTTAAAATATATTGTGTTACACATTTTCCTTAGGAAGAGAAAAGAGCAAAACTCGCAGAAGCTGCAGAGAGAAGACAGAGGGAGGTGAGAACAAAAATAAAGTTCTGCCTAATTAGATAATTGTACTTTATTCTCCACCAGCGTCTATAACTAGTAGTATTTGCTAATGCAGACAACCTATATACATTTATATGAAAAAGTAATCTTTTCAAAACAATTACCGTGTTTCTATAGATTACATTAATGCACTTACATTATTTAATGTATAAAGATTAACTTACAAATGTCTTCTTTAAAGCCAGATGCCCCTTTAATAACGTTATTGCTTAGTATGAAATGACTATAGTTGTGAATCATTGACATGTGTTAAGTAAGTGTAGAGGAAACATTTGTATGGTTGCAAAATACCCAGTGAAGAAATGAGAGTATATTTTGTGTTTTATGTAAGGCTGTTGCAGGTATATTCTAATTCTTTGTTACCAGAAACAAGCAACCAACAACAGCGAAGCAAAAACCAAACAAAACACTTTTTGTACACTGGACATTGATTGTTGTTTGTTTTAATACTCCTTATAAATTTTTTAAAGGCTGCATCTCGGGGGATTTTGGATGTTCAGTCTGTGGAAGAAAAGAGAAGGAAAAAGGAAAGAATAGAAAAACAAATCGCTTCCTCTGGTCCCCCTCCAGAAGGTGGACTTAGAGTAAGTATTAAAGTTTACTTAAGGTTTAATAGACATTTTTTAAAACTTAAGTATGCATCCATTTAATAATTTCATTTTGAAATGCCTTATCCAAAAATTGTGAATCAGTTTTCAAGTATGGATATTGTAGTTTGGAAGGAGTCTCAGTTTATTTTAACATTCATTGGAATAGATTTGTTTTCTTTTTTCCCAAAATAAAAATTGATTTGTCTGATTATCTTAGTGCTATATCTTAGTATTATGTACTTAATGCTAATCTTAAATTTGTAGAATATCCAAACAACATGGAAAACTATAAAGAAGAAAATAAAAATCACCCAAATTCAATGCCATTTTGACAGACATCATTTCTAGTTTCTCTTCATCAATCGTATTAAATTGGATTTGATTATGAATTCTCTTTTCATAACGAGTTTTTTCATTCAAAGATTTGAGATCTTTAATATTTCCGTTGTTGCTCATTATCGGAGTTATGTAAATTTTAAGAAGGACAGTAGGGTGCACAGGTTTGCAGGAACATCTGCCTCTCATGTAGCAGTCATCTCACTAGGCACTGAGGGTACTATGGTGGTCAAGTTAAATAAAGTCCCTGAATATGGGGATGTTAACAGTCTAGCAGAACTGTAATGACTATTTTACATGTTAAATCTCAGGAGAGTAATGGTTCAGATATTGAGATATTCAGATATAATAGATTTAAAATAATGAGTTTTTTTGGGTACATTTTTAAAGGAAATACTTTCCTTACATATACTTGTAAAAGGGATAATATTCTTAGTTTTACTCATTTATATTTAAGTTGTCAGTGTTTGATTTAGCAGTGTATTTTTTAGCCAATTCCCTTGTTTTCCAGACTCAGTTTTGTTTTTGTTCTCAAACCAAAAGAAACATTTTTTTCAATATTAAAAAACTGACCATTTTGCTTGTGTTTCTTATATATACCTCAGAATAGAATAGATCTAGTGTAAAATAAAAATAAACAGGGAGATACAAGGTGAAATCTTTATCAGAAGCACAGTTGCTTTCTTCTAATATTCTGTTGAGATAAAGATCTCTGTCATCAGGTTTACTTCATATAGTGTTCTCAAAAAAAATAATAATTTATTCAAATTAAATTATAGGCCTAGAAATGATATTCAAATCCACTATTTCATAGAAGAAGTAACTTGATCAAAGTCACATACAATGTTAAAAGAATAATTTTTTCTAAATATAGTCAGAATTAAGAAAGTACTTACTTTACATGTTCTAACCTAATAAATTTAACATCAGTGTTTTAAACTCAAAGGAGCTTTCTTAATTAAACCTAAACTTTCCACACCCTGATGGCTGTAGATTAAAAATAAATTAGGCCCTGTATTGCTTCTGGTCCTCCCAGAAATGCTCAAAATGAAAGACGTTCCGAGTCCCCATTTTTGTATGAAATCCCTCTCTCCCCCTTAGTAAAAATAAATTTCAGGGTCATCAAGGTGGGCAGTAGCAGGAGGAGTTCCCCAAGGAGAAGAATGGCTCGCTCTGATAAATGTATCTCAAAATACATTGCTAGAGGCTCAGGGATAATAGAAGGGAAAATACAATGCAGAGTAACTTAACTCTCAAACCTCTTGGCCTAGGGTCTTTAAGGGCTGCTGTCAGGCCTGCTGTGTGGGCTGGCCTGGAGCATCCAAGAAAAGCTAGATCCTTCCTCACCAGGCTCCATAGCATGAGGAAAACAGTTCCTTTCCTGTCCCCATGCATCTACATATTCATCTCCTGACCAGCTCTGCCTCTTCCCAGGATGATTGGCATTGGAAATGCTCACTGTCTTCTGGAAAGGCAGCCTTACATTAAGAAGCTGATGTGATGACTGCATCAAGACCCAGACATCAGGACAGGGTATACCACCAGCAGAGGAGCAGTGGCAGACCTCTAGTGCAGTGGGCTTCAACCCAGCTGCACATTAGAATCTCATGGGATCTTTCAAAATGGACTCATCGTTGCAGCCCACAGCACGTCAGAATCTCTGAGAATGAGTCTTAGCCGTCAGGATTTTTCTAAGCTCACAAGAGAATCTAATGTGAAGCCAGATTGAGGATCACTGCTCTAGTGTTTCCCAGTACTAGTCCTAAGAGATATATTGTAGAAAATACAGTTCCATGGTCAAAAATGCTTAAAAATTTAATGAATACTATATTATATACTGTATTACCTTTTTTGGAGATTAAAAAGGGCACAGTATTGAAGTCTCTAAGTTCTACAGTAACGAAAAGCATCTTTACTTGGTTTAACTGTTAATTTTCCAAACTAAATATAGATTTTTAAATTATACGTTAACCAGTTGCTGTCAAGTTAACTGCAATTCATGGTGACCCGGTATGTGTCAGAGTAGAACCGGGCTCCATAAGAATTTCAGTGGCTGATTTTTTGGAAGTAGATTGCCAGACCTTTCTTCTGAGGTGCCTCTAGGTAGACCCAAACTTCCAACCTTTCAGTTAACAGCCAAGCATACTAAACGTTTGCACTGTCTAGAGACTCCAAATAATGTATAACACCCAAATATTCCTCAGAAGTACTTCCTCAGAAAACACTATTTGAGGGACCATTAGCTATCTCTGGTCCTGTCCCAGTGATTCTTTCAAAACCTACTGTAACACATGAAATAAACATGGTTAAACAGAACAGCAAATGGAACATTTTCTCAACTCAAGCAAGAAAAAGATTTTTTCAAACCATTATTTAATAGTATCTACCATTTTTCATTTGCCTGCCTTCAAATGGGAATTCCTTTATTTTTGTTTTGTGGTTTTATTGCTGTTTTCGTTTTTGGTTTTCCTTTTTTTTTTTTTTTTGGTAGTAGGGAGGGGAGGGTGACTTGCTGCCTCACTTTTTTGTCTTTACTGATTGTTAGATGTCTGAGATCTAGCTACCCACTGATCAGCCCAGATACTTTGTTTTACTTCTCTGCATTTTTAAACCATCATATATTACTTCAAACTTTTGACTGTAATGTACAATTCGATTAATAGCTGCTGTTCACACAGGTAATTGTATATTTCTATATTCTGTATTTTTCTCTTTACCTGTTTGTACATTGGAATAGTGTTACATAACATTGAATAAAATTTACTTTCTCTGTATGTTTTTATCTTTTCTAGTGGACAGTTTCATAAAACATGACATGAGTGGAAGAATCTACTACCAGTAATGCTAATATCTGCAATCAAGTGAACCTTCTCAATTTAATTTCTTCTTTTTGAATAAATGATTCAGAGTTTGTAATTTTAGTGCCCTTAAATGCAGTACTAAATCTATATTGAAAATATTGCAAATAATTTTGATTTTTAAGTTTAGAAAATGGCCAGAACTTTATCATTGAATACTTATTTTCCTGCATTTGCTCATCTGTAGGCAGTGAGTGGGTGATTTGCCATTTTTTAGTAATTAAAGCAAGAACCTGAATAGCAAATATATATGCATCTGCATGTAAAAACTCTGGATACATCTCTAATATTAAAATTTGAAATTGTATTCCCCTTCCTTATAAAATAATCTAGCTCTTTATAATTGTGCTGCTTAGCCTTAGGTCTGTTTTTATTTCATTATGTTTGAAGACTTTTGCTTAAACTTGTAAATTTAGTGCCTTTCAACTGATCATCAGGGAAAAATTGAAAACTCATTTTAAGGGCTTATATGAAGGAACGCTGTAAATTTGTAAAGCTTACTAGGTAATGAATATTTGTAGACATATGTTTCTCCTAATTTATTTTCTATTTCTGTAGCTTACAGAGTTTACAAATTGTGTTTTACATTTCACTAAAGGTTATTTTTTTTCAGAATTTTAAAATTATATGTTAGTGGTACCATATGAAGGAGCCCGGGTGGTGCAGTGCTTAAGTGCTCAGCTGCTAACCGAAAGGTCAGTGGTTCATACCCACCAGCTGCTCCATGGGAGAAAGATGTGGCTGTCTGCTTCCATCAAGATGACAGCCTTGGAAACCCTATGGGGCAGTTGGACTCTATAGGTTCACAGTGAGTCAGAATCGACTTGATGGCAGTGGATTTGGTTTTTTTTGGGGGGGTGGCGAGGAGGTACCATCAGAGGGTAGTGGTATACTGTTGTGTAACAACAGATTCAGTTCTAATAAATCTTTGTAGTAATTGAGTAGTAAGTGAAACTGAGATTCTGGGTGAGTTGTACTGATTGGAATACATTTGTCTAAATTTCATGAGCATTTTTATTCTTTTGTATTTATTAAGGAATGATCATAGGATTTATACACACATGCAGTTTCCGAGGAATGTATGAGTATATGAAAGATAGGTACTCTGTTTAAGAAGGTCTATTTCAAACATAAAAATGTGGTGAGGTAATTCTATATGATGCATTGTCATAAACTTTTAAGATTTTTGTTCATTAGAAGCATAAGTTTTATAACATTTTTGTTTTGTGAGGTTTTTAAAATATATATATATAATAAGCTAAAAATAAAAAAATTGCTATTTCTTTGATTAGCTACTATAGTGTTGCTATGAGTCGGAATTGACTCAATGGCAGTGGGTCGAGTTTATTATGGTTGCTAACTCTTTTGAATGGCAAGGCCACATACTGAGTCCTGAATTAGAATTTTCAGATTCTAAGTACTAATAGGGACAGTAAATCAAATAGACCACTTCGTTTGATTTACAGAAGGGAAACTGAGCCACCATCTCGCCCATCCTTCCCATGAGACTTTTGTTATATTGCAGTATATTGTATATGCTAATTGTAGAGAGTTTGACTATAATATAGGTCTCTTGACTCCTTACAGAAAAAAATAACTTCTATCATTGTATGAAATATTCTGTGAATATCTAGGCAAGACATATACTTCTTCATCCTGTTAGAGGATTTTGGTATTTTTGTTCATAAAGGATATTGAGATCATTGAAATGTATTTTAGAAACAAACATTTTTAACTTTATGAAGATGATTAATTTCTCCAAGTTAGAAAGGAAAAAGGAGCATTAATAGCTGAATGGATTTAGAACCAGAGCATTTCATCTTTGAACTGTGCAAGTTCTTTCAACTATTTTAATATAGCAGTAACAATTTTATCTTCATTACATCTCAAACATTAGAGCTTGGGTTGATGGTCAGGGAAATCTAGGGGTAATTTCATCTCTTTGGGATGAATGAGGACAGAGCTAAAGGCTGTTTGGTATGTCCATACAGTCCTTGAATTTATAGTTAGGCATGTTCCTTTTACTCTAAAGAAGAAATGATATTATTAGTCTCCTATTTTCTTAGAGAACAATACTAAAGGTTTACATCCAGGGGATAATACCCTGTTTTTACACTAGCACACCCAAAAACCTGCTCATCTATGAATGATATGCAGGTATATTGCTTTCTGGGAACAGTGGGTTATGCTGCTCCAGCCAACCATGGCCTCCCTCCATGAGTGTGATCAGCTTTCCCCAAAATCACATGGGTTGCATGAGCTAAGAGGTGAAGACCCAAATGTTTGTTAGGAACACTATTAGGAAGAAGGAAAAAGCAGACACATGATGCCTGATAGGAAACCAGTAATTACTACTAAAAAGAAAGAAGAAAATTATATACACGCAGTCATCTCCCTCATAAAGTTACAAATCTCTGATGAAACGCTTAACTGGGAGCCAGTTTCCCATAATTTAAATGGAAAAAAATTACAATGTTTTATATATCAACCAAGCCCCCGATCAAATTACAAAAACATAACTGAAGCATTAAAATGAGTATATATATCGTGTTAAGATGTAAAATGCTTAAATTATTGTTTTCTAATTCTAGTCATTAAACTGTTAATATGGCTAGCAACAAAAAATTGTGTTTTACTACATAACCCCTTTGTTGACAAGTGGCATGTTTTTTAAGCATATATACGTGATTATTACTGTTCTGCAGGTTGTGTTTGGTCTGTAACTCAATATGTTTCCCCATGTAATTTTGTAATAAATTTGTGTTACCTTTTGGGATTATGAATATACATTTTTCCTATATAAAAATTGGCTTTGGCCATCTCTTTTTAACAAGAAATCAACTTTTGCCTTTGGTAACTCAGGAGATTTGACACAAGCTTTGAATGTTCCTTTTCTCCTTCAACAGTTTGACTTGTTTATTTTTACTGGTAAGAATTATGCTACACCCTTGGAGGGGAGGGGGGAGTAAATCTGACTACATTTGTATTTGAATAATAATTTTTTGCATAAATCAGTCAGTAAGAGGTAAGATACACTTGCCTATCTGTGTTAAGATTTAAGATGTGTTCCTTTAACATCTCCAGGCAAGACTCTTAGGTTCCCTTAACTGCTACATATGTTCTAAGCTTCATCGGTGGTACTTGTGGCTCTTTTCTTTGGTTTCCTCAAAAGCCATTGACACAAGGCATTGGTATGTATAACAGACTTTTGGTTTTGACTTGATTTTGGTTTGGTTGGACTTCATAGAAGAGTTTATGTCCCAACAACTCAAATGCTTTAAATTTTTCATATGATATGGCGTTGTATTAGCCTGTTCTCCCTCTTCTGGGCATGCTTCATCTTGCAAGCATTGCTTCTTATTCTGATCATTATGGTCTAAGAATTAAATATTTATAAAATTCATGGATCTGGATATATTTTTATTATCATCTGAAGTGCATAGACGGTTTTTATAGCACCATACTTTCACATTAATGATTTTTGTGTTGAGTTTTGACTTAATGTCCTCTGGTCATACAACTAGGTTTGAGCCATGATTAACACATACTTCAAACTTACCTCAAATGGGACAGATTAGTTTTGTTCACAAACTCGCTATGTCTAAGCTATTAGTCTGAAATCTGCCTAGTCACGTAAGTGACATAAACAAACAACCCAATTTAAAACTGAGCAAAGTTTTGAATAGACATTTTGCCAAAGAAACTATAAGGCAGGCCAATTAGCACATGAAAAATTACTCAACATCATTAGTCATAAGAAAAATGCAAATGAAAACCAAAAATATATCAGCTCATCCCTTCCCCCTCTCCAACCCATGACTATAATCAAAAAGATGACAATTATGGGCAAAGATATGGAGAAACTGGAAACCTCATACATTGCTGGTAGAAAGAGAAAATGGTATAGCTGGAGCCCTGGTGGCATAGTGCTTAAGAGCTTGGCTGCTAACCGAAAGATCGGCAGTTCGAATCCACCAGCCACTCCTTGGAAACCAGTGGGGCAGTTCTCTGTCCTATAGGGTCACTAGGAGAATCAACAGCAACACGTTTAATGTGAAAAAGTTTGACAGTTTTTTTCAAAAGGTAAACATAAATTTCCTATGAGACCCAAAAAACACTAGTTTCTTCTACACAAAGATTTACATACGAGTGTTTATAGCAGCAGCATTCATAAAATTAAAAAATGGAAACAATTCAAATGTCCACTAAGTGTTGAATGGATAAACAAAATACAGTATATCCATGCAAGGAATACTATCATCAATAAAAAGGAATAGACTACTGATCCATTCTACAAGATATATGAACCTCAAAAACATGCTAAATGAAAGAAGTGAGATAAAACACCACATTTTTATGATTCTATTTATATGAATTTTCCAGGAAATATAAGTGTGTAGATCAGTGGTTGCTTGGGTCTGTAGGTGAGAGTAGAGATTAAGGTAAATGGGCACCAGGGAACTGGATTGTAGTGATTATTACACAACTGTAAGATTTATGAAAAATCATTGAATTGTAAAACTAATGTGTATTATGGTATGAAAAATACAACTCAAGAAAGCTTTTAAAAATTAAAAAACATATCCATTATTTCATGAAATCCAATATTGGGAGTTAAAGCTGGGGACCTTGAAGGATATGAACTAGGAACTAGAACTTGGGATCCAAAATTAGTCTCTCCAACCTCTTTAAAGCCACTTGCTCTTTTGCTCTGTCATGTTTAAGCATCTACCTCATTCATCTCCTCACTTTGCACTGTTTTTTTCTTAGCACAGGTAGGACCATTCTTACCTCAGCTTCTCCTAGGCTTTGGGCTCTCATTCAAGTGACCAGGAGAAAGCAACTGTGTGTTGTGTGTCCCACTTGTAAATTCCTGAAATTTTATCCACTGACTTTGTGTTTCATCCATTTTAACAAGAAATCTTTAACTTTGTGGTAGACTAATCCATCTGTTTTTTTCCCCTTACGGTTTGTGTTTTGGGAATCACAAAAATAACCTCTTACATTTTCTGTTGGTAAGCCTTATAATTTTACTTGTCATATTGACTCTAATTCATCCAGAATTAATTTTGTATCTGAGAAAGGGATTGACATTTATTTTTCTTTTTATAAAGAGTAAGCCAGTTTTCCGAACACTATTATTATTATGAAATATAATCATATTTAAAATAAGTATAATTATCATCTATTAACATGTATTTATCCTTTTGGTTCTATCATAAATAAGTTCCATTATATTCATGGTTTTGTTTTTAAGTGCTCAGTTATCTTACATTGATCAGTTGCCTGTGCCAGTATGACATTTTAATTTCTGTAGCATTGTAATATCTCTTAATTTATGGTAGTGTAGCTCTGTCTTCATTCTTCTGTTGAAAATTTGCAAACTATTTGTGGATCTGGTATTCTTCCAGTTAGGGTTTAGTACATGCATTTGATGTATAATTTCTGAATATGTTTACATCAGAGCCGGTGACTAATTGCAGGCAGAAGTAGAGAAATAATTGTGGATTCTGATAAAAGGAAAAATACATATATAATAAAATAAGGGACGGACCATATACAAACCAATGAGTTTAGGGTGTCATAACCTGAGGGGTAGGAAGAACCCAACTAAGGCCTAAAAGAAGAGTAGTAAGAAATTCCTAACAAAAACATATTTGATTGGCCTAGCTTGACTCTATCTACTCCATTTTACTAAAGCAGAATCCTAGTTCATTAATTTAAATGAGAAATCTTTGTCAGGGAACAGAACACACATCAGTCTAACCAGTACTTCCTCTGTAAGTTTGGTAGGCAGAATTCTAAGAATGACCCCCAATGACTCTAGTCTAGACGGTAACTACTACTGGTTTTACCATCTGTGGTGGTTAAGGTTGTGTGTCAGCTTGGGCCATGATTCTCAGTGGTTTGGCAGTCGTATGATGTTGTGATCACTTCCATGATGAGTTTTGATATAATGTGATCACCTGTATGATGGGATCTGCTGTGAGTAACCGATCAGTTGAAAGGGAGTTTCCTTGGGCATGTGGCCTGCACGGAATGTAAGTGGACATTCTGGCAAGGTTTGTGGGCTTTTGCTCATTCTGAATCCTAGAGCTGGCTCCTGTTCCTCTGACCTGTGGTTCTTGGGACTTGAGCTCGCAGTTTACCTGCGGTCTTGCCTGCCAATCTTGAGATGCTTCGATCTTCACAGCCTGTGAACAAGAGCCCTGCTCTCTGACCTGCTGACCTTGGGTTTGCCAGCCCTTGCGGCTACATGAATTAGGAGAAGCCTCTATCCTGACCCATAGACTTGGGACATTCCAGCCTCTACAACCACGTGAGCCATTTCCTTGATATAAATCTCTATATATACTTGGAGCCCTGGTGGTGTAGTGGTTAAGAGCTTGGCTGCTAACCATAACGTCAGCAGTTCGAATCCACCAACTGCTCCTTGGAAACTCTATGGATCAGTTCTACTTTGTCCTATAGGGTCACTATGAGTCAGAATTGACTCGACGGCAATGTTTTATATATATGTATATATATATA